TGTATTTTTGTTCAGGAGGGGGAGAAGTTAACCATTGCTTAATCTGTTCTAGTGAAATAGTTAGACTCGCCTATTTTTTTAAAAATTTTCTTAGCTATTTGTTAAAGCCATCTGTAGCCAGTCAGATAATACGAGTCTTTGTTACAGAGTGAGCACTCCATGAGGGATTCCCCTGGCCTTTCACTGGGTTGCCTTTCCCATACTTAGCTACTTTTGAGAGGAAGTACCTACACACTACTTTTGAGAGGAAGTACCTACACACTACTAAGACTTTAAGCATGACTAGAAACTAAGTCAAATCAATCAAATACACAGATAGATACTCTGTGTATCTTCTACATAGCAAGCATTGTAATGAAAGAATAAAGATGATTGGAAAAATAAAGGCCATTCTCTCCCAGAAATTCAGGAATTAAGTTGGATTAAAGGATGCTTGTTGAGTTTCATGGATTTGCACTTAAAACCACAGGGACTTGGTGAAAACATGATAGAGTAACATAACAGAGAAAACAAGGACAGTGTGTGAATTCAGTGGCTTTGGTAGTTGGTTTTGCTGTGTTTATACTTAAAAACACATTGGGGTTCCTTGTATAGTCAGTGTGCATAATATCTATACCCATTTAATCATTCCCCCCCCCCGCCCACAGGAATTTTAAGATCATTTCAAATCATTACTAAGAACATAGTTCAGACTGGAGAGAGTGCAGCTTGCCTTAGAATCCTTAGGGCAGGGAAGAAGTGGAAACACAAGAACCTTCCATAGGACTTTAAGAAATTAAAAAGGTTAAAAAAACTGTGGAAGTAAATGAGAAAATAAAGTAGGAAAACATTAAAATCTGACGAAGCACAGATTAGTGCAGTTGTCCTTGGGGTGAAGGCCCAGTGGGGGGCAGTAGTGTGCTGGTTCTGAGCATGGGCTGTGGGGTCACACGGGTCTGAGCTTGACAACGGGCTCTACCCTGCATGTGCTTCCTAGGCTTGCTGCCACACAGTCTCACAGGACCCAGAGCTTCGAAGAGACCCTGCTCAGCAGGGCCCTGAATGTGGTTTAATGCTTTGCTGCTGCTGTTTTTGGAAATTCTTAATGTTTGGAAAAAGGGTCCTTTCATTGTCATTTTGCACTGGGCCTCACACGTTACGTAGCCAGTCCTGGCTCTACCTCTGTGTGTGCGCAGGTCCTAGTAAGTTACTCAACTTTACTGCGCCTGTTTTCGCGTATGTGATGCGGGGATCCTAAAGTTACCTTTCTAGATGATAGGTGATATTAGGGTTGAATGAAGCAACTGAATGTAAGGCATTTTATACCCATTCAGTTAGTTATGATTTGTGAATCTCTTTGCAGCGGTTGGTACAGAAAGCAGTCCATCTACTTCTGTGTCTCCTACAGAATATCTTAGCCATCTGCAAAGTCTTTGATTTCAGAACTAAATTTAAAAAAAATTGAGGACTCCAAAGAGCTCTTGCTTACTTGGGCTATATCGATTGATATTTACTGTTTTAGAAGTTAGAAAATGCTTACTTGGGCTATATCGATTGATATTTACTGTTTTAGAAGTTAGAAAATGTTAAAAATACAAGAACATGTAAACACACATCCTGTGATGATGCCATCATGTGTCATGTAGCTCTGGAAAACTCCAGTGTACACTCAGGAGAGAATGCGTGAACAACGTAAACGACGTGTTTTTATGAAAATAGTTGCAGACTCCCTGGAAGGGCCTTGGGGGACTCATCCACCCCACTGGGAGTCCTCAGATCACATTTTTGAAAAAATAGTTTATTGTGCTTTCAGTGAAGGTTTACACAGCAGTTTAGGTTCCTATTCAACGATTTCTACACAAATTGTTCAGTGACATTTGTTACAGTCTTCACAGTGCGTGAGCAATTCTCATTGTTCCTGGTCTAGTAGCTCGATTTCCATTGATCTAGTTTCCCTGCCATTCTCATCTTTGTGTTAAAGTAACTGTTGACCATATATGTCTCATATAGGTGATTTTTTTTAAAGGAACCTGTCCTTACCAATGATATTCACTATTTTGTGAGCCAATCTGTTATGTAGCTAGAGCGACCTCAGGGGTTAGTTTCGGTTCAAGGTTTAAAGAGTATCTCAGGGGGGTCCTCCAGGCTCAGGGGTTAGTTTCGGTTCAGGGGGGTCCTCCAGGCTCAGGGGTTAGTTTCGGTTCAAGGTTTAAAGAGTATCTCGGGGGGGTCCTCCAGGCTCAGCCAGTGTAGTATGTTTGTTTGCTTTCGGGGTGGGGGGGGATTTGAGGTTCTTTCTCCCATCCTATCAGGGTCCATCTATGGTGGCCCTGATTAAAACGGTTGGTAGCAGCAGCTGGGTACCCTATAGTTCTTCCTGTCTCGGGCCAGATGAGGCTGTGGTTTGTGTAAACTGTTTGTCCTGTAGACTAGTTTCTTCCTCCTCTGGATGAGCAGAGACCAATAGTTGCATCTTAGATGGCTACTCACCAGCTTTTAAGCCTACTCACCAAACTAGGATGTAGAACAGAAACTGTAAGAAGTGTGTTATGCCAATCCACCAAGAGGCCCCATGAGACTATGGTCCTAATCCTTCAAACCCAGAAAACCAATCCTGTGAGGTGTTTGGTTATGTCTAAAACTATTCTTCACTCAGTGAGTAATGGGAAGAATTTGAGTGAAAGAGCCATACTTAGACGCTGTGTTTTAAAGTTTGATAGTAATGATAGAGATTCAGCCTCTGAACAGAAAAGTCTGGGATAGATGAATACAGGGTGCCCAGAATGAAGCAGTTTGCTTTTAAGCTGTGCCTATCTCCAAATAGAATTGGTTTACTTTTTGCTAAGTAATGTATCCTGAGATCATGCTTCATCCACCTAGCATATAACCAAGGAGATGTTAACAGGATCTCTATGTGAACCAAATAGATATCTCCAAGTCTGCTTACTCCTACTTCTGACAGAGCTTAAAACTTTGTAAATTGGCTTTATGGTTCACAGAAAAATTTAAGTAAGCAAAATGACTTTGGATGATAAGGGAGACAAAAAGCAAAGCTGCCAGGGGACAGTTGACAGAGTGGTACATATCTAAGAGTCTGCAAGTCTTCACAAGTGGAAGCACAGTGCTCGTTCATTCACACAGTTATTCAGCACCTACTGTGTGCCAGTCATTGGGCTTCACCCTAGGGAACCTGGGATGAAGAAGTTACCATCGCTGGCCTCGGCACTATGGGGGCGACAGTCAAGCAGGAGTGCCATTTAGCTGGAATGCATTGGTAAGGATATGATGTGTGTTAATGGCTTTATCATCTCTGGGATGAGTTAGAGAGGGCTGCAAAGAGGAAGTGACTTTTGAACTGTTGGAAATGCAAACTGATCCATGTCTTTAAGTGGCTTTTAATCCAGCCCACCGGTACATGTGACATTTGCAAATCCACTAGTTCAGGCTACTTTTCTATTTTCTTATTTAGGCCTAACAACAAGGGACTCCTGCTAAATTCCAGAGGTGATATATTTATATGTGGCATAAAATAAAAATCACGGAATGAGACAAATATACCCAAAAGCTGAATACAGATGAGTAACTCAAACAGTTCTAATTGAAGTGTTCGACTCCCCCCACTTCCTCCTTTACCATGAAATATAAGATTAGCTGCATTACTGATGTCAGGACAAAATCCCAGTGAGTACTACCCAGTCACAGAACTGGGCAGCAGCATTAGAATGTATACTGGTGAAATGCAGTGAAGCCCTGGTGGTACAGTGGTTAAGAGCTATAGCTGCTAACCGAAAAAGCTGGCAGTTCGAATCCACCCACTGTTCCTTGGAAACCCTGTGGGACAGTTCTACTCTGTCCTGTAGGGTTGCCATGAGTCGGAATTGACTCGACGGCAACAGGTTTGGTTTTGGTAAAATGCAGAAGGCATATTTGAAAAGCTGATCTAAATTTGTGGGGGAAAAACTATGCTATACCCATATAGCACAAAGCTTCGTAGATTTATAGCAGCTATACAGTTAATTTTGGGTTTATCTGTGTGCTTTTAAAAACTGCTGGGTGCTTGATACATTTCCAGGCATCTTACCTATATAACTAAAACCTCAACCACTATGATCTTCCAATCCTACATTAAGAGTCAGGCCAACATTTGGAAATAGTCCCTTGCTGCTTAGGAAAGGCCAGAAAACTCTTCGAAGCAGCCAGTACTAGGGCTTATGCTGCAACACCAGGGCTCCTCACTTTGAGTGGCAGAGTAACAGATCTGAGCACAAGGTGCTGACCGAGGCTGAAAGCCTGGGTGTATCATGTTACAGCGTTAGTTCAAGGAGAGCAAAAGACTTAACAATAAGCTTTTCTTTCCAATGTACCAATATCTTATTATGCTACTGAAGTGGTTGGTAACTAATGGATACATAGAGAATTAGAATTTGCTGCTGACCAAGAGAGCTACCTCTGAATTAGAATGAAAACCAGGATTTATAATGGGTGTCACGTTGGCTAAAGGTACGATCTGGAGTTACACAACTGACTTACAGGTTGATTCTAGCCATGAAGCTTGACCTGAAATATACATACATCTTAAGAGAGAAATGGTCAAATAAAGTGGAAAGAGGCTGGGTGTTAATATTATTTAATATTATTTCTGATACTTGGAAGCTCTGTGACTAGGGGCAAGTTATTTGTTCTCTTTGAGAGTCATAGTCTGTACCTTTAAACCCCAAGACGATACTGTAACTTCATCCCTATTAATCAACCAAACAATATTTTAAAAGGATTTTTCCTGTTCTGTAACAACTGTTTGCTGAAATTCAGTGTAAGGATTTTAAAATGAATAAAACTATATTTCACTAATTTGTGTTATTAAAATGTAAACCTTCAAAAAGCATGCAAGTATACTTTCATAGGCTAAGATACAGTGCTTCCCCTTTCCAGAACATACACTCTATTCTCATTCCTTTCTCCCTTTCTACTACTATAGCAATCCAACAAGAAAAATGTCTGAATTTAAAAATTAAGATACATACTCATCATGAACAATGGTGGGGCCATCCCTTGTCAAGGCTTCTTCTTTGATGACGTTGATAAGTTCAAAGGTACTGCTTATGGGGGCATCTGGGTTAGGCCACTTGGGACACTGGAAGTGCCGAACCTCTAGGACGTAGTCATCCTATAACCAATACAACACGAGTCACAGTCCATCCTTGCCTTCGTTATGTCTACAATCCAATGAACTGAAGTTTCGTCTAAGAAAGTATATTGTAGAATAACCCAACGGGCGTACTAGGGGATGGTCCTGCCGTTAAAAAAATGAGCAGTTCATGATAATGAAACAGCAGAATCTCATTTTGTTCAAGCGACAATAAATTATAGGAGTCTTTATATCCTGTTCTCTCTTCTCCTACCTTTAAAATGCAAAGGAAAAAAAAGGGGGGTAGGGGGAGACTAGGGAAACATCCACCCCATAAGATGGCAGTTACTACACTTCAGAATGTTTCCAAAAAACCCACAAAATTAATATTATCATCTCTGCAACATACTGCAAGGCTTACATTTCTGATGGCAAAGAAAATACTAAGCTCTGTTCTTATAATTAGGTCAACAGACCTTATTTGTATGCATGCTGAATCGTTACATTTCATCTATCCAGCTAGAAAAAGCAAATATTTGAAGGAAGAAAAAAGGGGCATGTACATTAAGTCTTACTCAAATGCCTTCATTATTACTGAGAATGATGATCCAGGGCCCAGGTATGGCTATTATGGAGGAACTGAGGTTTTGGTTACCTGTGTAGCTTCAAGGATGAAGTCATGGATGATAATTTGTTCTTCATTAGAGAGGCACAGTCTGTCTTTGCTGATAAGGGTGACAGTAAAGGCCTCACAGTTCATGGATTCTTCTCGACTTGGCCAGTATACAAACTCATCTTCTGCCTGTGGGGGAGAAGAACATCTTCTGCAGTGCTGTCAAGCATTGGGTTTTGCATTTTCCTGCAAAATGATTGCTTGTACTTGTCGTTTCCCATACTTCTCATCTTTTAAGTTGGGTTCAGAGAATTATATCCTTGTCTAATATTCTTCCCTAAAATATACTTGATAAATAACCAGTTCCTAGAATCTGGCCTTCAGGGGGAAAAATAGAAGCGCTCTAAAAGTAGTAGCAAGGAAATGTCTAGTAAAGTGGATTTTATTAAATATGGTATCTGTGTGAAAAATACAGTCAATATCATAGTTCCAGACAGCCAGCCTGTGCTACAGAAAACACAGGGAGAGGAGCTACAGATTTGAACTTTGAACGCATCAAGAAACCCCCTTTTCATAATCTGCTGTAATTCGGAGTAGCCTTGTCAATGATGCTAGACCCGGAAGACCAGAGTTTCCCTACTGCTCTGTGTTCAGAAAGTGGGTATAAAGATAGGAAGGTAACAGATGCAAAGACCACTTCTCACCTCTGACACCGTAACAACCCAAAACCCACCCCCCCTGGGTTACCAAAACCCACCCCCCCTGGGTTACCCTCAGTTGAGAAGTGGTTTGTAATATAATTGTCATGGTACAAAAGGAGACGGCATCTAAGCCAGTTAATGTTAATCTATTATTTCACAATGTCTTACACAAGCAAGACATGTTAGTTGTTCTTTCCTATGGATTACGTGAATCACAATTCCATGGCTGATCAGCATTTTACAAAAGACTGTCATAAAGGTTATCTATCTTATTTAACTTTATCACCTCTGTCTCTACAGATGAGGACACCGAGGCTCAGAGACGTTTGTAAATTGTCTAAAATCAGCTCCTTGTAAAGAGTGAGGGATAGGTCCTTTCTGGAAAGGGGTAGTGCATAAACAAACACATTGGTTGTAAGTACAAGTCGCTCTTTAAAAGCAGAATTGGTTTGTCAATGTTAGGTTTCAAGAGGGAACAGCATAGAAAATCTTTTTGCCTTGCATCAGGCAAGTTTTAACGGTTGAGCCATTTAAAGATTACAGAAGGATATTCAGGCTTAGTGCTTGAATTTTATCCTGAAAACTATGGAGACGAGGCCTAAGGCAAAGTCGGTCACTGCACAGGTTGGAGACTTTGTGATAAATACAATCAATGATTATGACCATGAACCGCCTGCTCGGTTTTCTTATCAGGCCAGATAACAAACCGTACTAGCCGCTGCCGGAACTATGTAGATTTCTGTGGGCATTTTCCTGAAAACGCTTAGCTACTAGCAGTTAAGTCAGAAATAATTCTGAATAATTGTTCAAAACAAAGAAAGCTTTGTTTAATCTTACATTGTTGCATTAGAAATGAGCCAACAGTCCAATAAGACTTATCACCCTTTCAAGTTAGTTTCAATATAGCTTATTGCCAAGTACATTTTTATTTTTAAAGCTCAGCATAAGGGGAGACAGATCAGCAATTGGGTGTAGTCTATACAAAAGAAGTCTGTAACTATCGTGGGCTTCAATATATGTTGGCCAAAGAAGGGAAGTAGAGCCCTCTCAGCAGACATAAAGCAGTGATGGACAGGGCCTCTAAATTTAACCCACAGGCACAGAGTCAACCCTTCTTGCTTCCCTGCAAGTAAAGGACAAGGGTAAAAGGAGTATAGGATCAAATGTGATCCTGGATAAATTAATCTCTCTGAGCCTTAGTTTCCAGATCTGGCAAGTGGGAATAATAAAACTACATAATATCTCAAAGAATTATGATAACGTGCATAGTAAATGGTCTGCTTAGCCTAATGGCTGCCAAAGTGATTGCAGTTATGATGGAAGAAAGGCAGAGAAAAACTCTTTAGCACAGATCTTGAGACTTGACTCTTAAGGAACATGAGTGTCACTTCTTCCGTCCAGCAGGACCTCAGGGTTATTCTGCTTACAAATGTATTTATAGGTTAGAGATGCCTGCGCACGTCTGAGAGCACTTTCTGAGTTACAAACTAACGACTTGTGGCCTACAAAGAACGACAGTCTCGTAAGGTTACAGTGGTAGAAAGTAATCAAGCACCTGAAAAGCACTCCAAGGCATTATTTTTAGGAAAAACTGTGCAATGACGGATCCAACTTCAGATCCCAGAGCTAGGAGAAGGGTGATGTCTGCTGGACCTGATTCTGGCACAGCCTCCCCAGGCCTCAGAGAGACCCCGAGATGACATGTTCCGGGGGGGCGGGGTCCCTGCATCCTCATTATCTGCAGCACGGAGCTCCTCTTTTTTGGTCCAGTCTCCCCCTAGCCTCCCCATGCAAATGAACTCCTGGGTAGATGCTTTTTGATGACTGTCCTCTGTGAAGTGACTATAACAAAACACGGATCCATCCAACAAATGAACGTTGGATCCATCCAACAAATGAACGTTTTAACAACCCTATGCCTCCAGTTTCCACATGCCAAAGAGAAAATAGACCCCTGGTGCCAGCTACTTTGAAAATTTACACTCCAGCTTTTAGTTTAAGATTCTCAACTGTGTTGCCATTCTATCATCCAGAAGCAGTCTTGGTATTCTGAAGCTGGAGCAAGATACGACAAAGTGAAGTTCCTACTGACTGGGCACGCAGTCAAATGCCTGTCATCAAGACTAGGGGTTCAGTCTCAGGCTGTTCTTTCCTGATTAGAAAACTCATTAATCTGACACTCATGGAAGCAGATCCTCATGGGGTTTTTGTTTTTGTTTTGACCTTGTGGACCTAAACGTCCACGAAGTAAATTTTGAAGACCCAACTGATTCTGCCACTTTAGACCATATGCACACGTAACACAAACATTTACGCTTATTTTTCAGCCTTGCTCTCCTCTCCTCTACGGTCCAGAGACCTAAATGGGAAAGGACTGACGGAGGACAAAGAACCAGCTTAGTCACGGTTTTCAAAAGCGCCGGCACAAAACTCGCCTTTGCTCATATCTTTCCCCTGCAATGGATCTGAGTTACATTGGAATGAGGGAACAATAGGGTACCTTAATATTAGTACTCTCAATCGAATCTTTTGTGGTTGTTGCTAGGAAACCTTTTTATGATGTACAGTGAGACATATAAAATGGTTAAAAGCATGGGCTCTGGAGCCAGATGACTCAGGTTCAAATCCAGGCTCCACTTATTAGTCTGTGCCCTTGGGCAAGCTACTCCCTCAGTTTTCTCAGCAATAAAGTGGGATAATAATACCCATCTCCTAAAGTTGTTGAGTGGTTTAAATGAGCTAATAACTGTGGAGTTAACATGGTTACACACTTAAATGTGAGCTGTTTTATTTTGCAAAAGTGACAGAAAGCAGATAAGAGGTCTGTCTAACGTTCTGTACCAACGAGGTTAGTAAAAGGACCTTTTTCAAAACCTCCCACTGCACTGCCATGAATAGTATATAAGCGAGGGTGACAGCAGCGGCGTCAGAGCATCAGTAATGGGACTAAATGAAAGGTCGGTAACTGGGAGGCTCTGAAAGGCACCTATACAGACGGTAAGATGAGGAGTCCGATCCCCTCCCCAGCAGACAGAGACTCTCTAGCTCTGTGACAAGGTTTCAAAAGCAGTCTACGCTTACGGCCTCCGGGCTCATTAATATATAGCAGACGGGCTTTCCTTACCAGGCTCTGGTTGTCTGGCAGCATGACAATGATCTGTGCATTATGATCCCAAATCATTCGCCAGAAATCTTTCGTAGTGTGTGGCAGAGGATGCTGGGTTATAATAAATTCATTGCTCCTATAATAGCCCTTCAATGGGGAAGAAGAAAAATCAGTGACTGTAAGTGTTTTACTCTCTCACTGCGGTAACTCGATATATTAATACGATATATTCAAGAAACAAGACAGCACTGTTATGACTCCACTAAAATAATGGAAATTTCACTAATTTTTCGAGGTGCTTCTGTTAACATGTGTAGACAGCTTTCTCTCCATGTGCAGTTCACTTCTAGTTACCCCCGCTGTTTTTACTTAACAGTAATTTCAACATTTATTCAAAGACTAGAGGGGTGAAATTAACAATAAAATTAATTCCTTCAAAAGCATTTTGCTTAATGTAAGCATTTCTGTATCCCCACTGATTGGGTGTCTTTTGTTGAAGGTTTCAAGATACGGAAATCTCTATACTTTTGATATTGCCCATTGAGAAATGACGTGAAAAATGAAATCAGTCACATAGGTGCTATCTGCTCTTTAGCACCTTTCAGTTTAATTGACTTCACTTATAATTAAATGCTGACTCTCACCATGATGTAGGAAGCATTAATGTAATCTGTTCCTTTCATTCCAGGCAACGGTGCAAGCCCCACTCGAGCACGCTCAGCTATCATATGGAAAAAACAAAAACACATTTGCCTTCCACGCATAGAACCGACAGAGCTTTCAGAGCTGTACTTGATGAGTAATCTACCCCCCCAGCTCCCCTTTCTTTGTAAGAGTTACCTGCACTTTTAGCCAAGCTAAGGTGTTGTCAGCTGAGGCAGAATGTACAGTGAAACTGTACAATCCCAGAAGGACACAGGCATTGCGGGAACACAGTTTTCTGTGGAGGGACTTTCACTCAGTGAGCACAGGGGGTTCAGGTAGTTGCCCACGGTGGTTTCATCTTGCTACGCTCATGCCAAACTATCGTTCTTTGCTGTGTGTTCTAACCTCTTAGCCCTATGCTTCTGCCCACAAAGGGGTCAGAAAACGGTGGCCTTTTTCAGTAGAGACAGTCTCTGCACTGATCACCCATGCCCGTGGCTTCAGCCCCCACACAGTATTCGTCACTGTCCTGAGTTGTTTATACAAGGGTCGCCACCAAGCGCCAGCGTCTTGCACTCAATAGCCAGCATAATTTCATGCTGTCAGTCCCAGTTGTACAAGTCAGCCTAGTACTCTCAGTGTAGAGCAGTGTTACTGACCCAGTGATAACGGCTTTAAGTTACAATGTGATACGAAGTAGCCTGTTTCTTGGATTTCGAGGTGAACTGAAGCTAGCCTTCACGTCAGATAGATGTGCCAGCGGCCACCCTACAGCCTTATTTCAAGTGATGGTAACATTTGCCCTTGGTAGCATCTGCCTTTCTTCACAATACATAAAATCCAGTTACAGAAATACTAACACACTCAAGTAAACCAAGCTGATTTTAAGATCTTACATGGCACGACGGAAGAGTTTCTGTTCTTTTCTTTGTTACACTCTTTCTGAGCACTAAAGCATTCCACATACTTTGCATTACATTGTGTGACCAGCTGAAAGAAAAGCAACAGTTCAGTCTTCATTGAAAGGTATAACTGACAGCATTTGCTTGACGATTTGGCAAAAATAGTAATAATCCAATTACTGGTGAACACACACATTTTTGTACCCCAAAGAACACTGTGTGCTTCATGAGTGCTACTTGTGTCAATTGCCTGGATTTTTTGTATGCTTGTCTTATTGCTACTGTCAGGCCCTTTTATGAGCACATGAGATATTTATTGAATTAATGTGGATTTTTCTCTGTGATTCCTCACAGGTACCTGTCACTTGGTGAGTCTACACTAGAAAAGATTACTTAATCATAGTAGGAGCTAATCCTGTTTCTTAAGATAAAGTAGAACTGAATCGGTTCTCAGTAAATATCTGTTGCACTGATACTGTACAAAGGTCTTTGTAAAATGATCAGCCCAGTAACTTGCTTATCCTTCTTGTTCATGTGGCTTGGTTGGGCCGTTTTTCAATCCTAGTCTTTTTTTAGGGGGAGGAGGGTTCATCTTAATGGAGTGAAGGGAATGGAGGAGGGGTCATCTTAATGGAGTGAAGGGAATGGAGTCTTTCTCCAAGTGCTCTAGACTCTGGATGTAGTTCTCATTTTTTGTGTTTCTTCTCATTTTCTTCTACATGAGTTCTAAAGTGATTAGTGCCTGTCAAAGAACCAAGTACCTCATTTCCAACCGAATGAAATGGTGTTTCTGAGTATTTGCAAATACTACAGAAATGCTGGTACTTACATTTAAAAAAGACACTGTGTCCCATGTATTCTCACTATTAATTACTTCCAATAATTTTTAGAGTATTTGTGAAGATGTTAAAAGGAGAGTTCAAAATTTACAATTACTGTTATAAATTTACAATTACTGTTATGAGTGAACTCAGTGAAATCAGTCTACTTTCCATTTTCATAGAACTTTACTTTGCTTGCCAGTCCCAGGCTTTCCGTGAGACTCAAAGAAAGGTCTCTGATTCTACAGAGAGTTTTGCAATGAGAACTAAAACTGCGTAGATTCATCTCATTCTTTCCATCTTCACACAAAGTGAGAAATTATTATTATTTAACAAACAACGTACTAAAAAACAGAATTTAAAGGGCTAAAACATAGGAAAGCACTCAGTAACTAGAGAGACAGACAATATTTAAAAAGTTAAAACAAGTTCTGCGAAATGAGTGAGCTATTCTGATCTTAATTAGTAGTCTGTACAGTCTCCTTTTTTCAACCTCGCTTCAGTCCATTCCATGTAAACCTTAACGCTCTCTCCACTTCTCAGGCTTCTTTATGCCCTTAGCAAAGAAAATGAGCAGCTATTTTAGGAGAAGTTGCCTTTTCTTTAGTACCTCTTCTTTAGTTTAGAAACTAACTCTAACTGCTGGAATAGTCTTTCAGGACCATCCATCTGTAAATACCCATTCTGAGTAAGGATAAGATAAATTAGTTCAGAAAAAAGTACACAGAGTATTTTTTTGGATCGGTATGATTGACACCAAAGTAGGCTGATGGTATGATTGATACCAAAGTAGGCTGATGGTCACACAAGTCCTAAATTGCTCTGAAGACAATACAGCACTGTACTCTCTATTTGGAATACCAACAATTTATACAGAAGCCAAAACATTCTTTCACTTTACAATTTATACAGAAGCCAAAACATTATTTTCTTTCACTTTAAAGAGTACAAGTAGTATGCTCTCTAATCCACTTCAGTTTATACATTAGTGCAAAAAAGACATAAGAGCCCCCTCCCTCTGCAAACTCAAAGGCATTTTTTACTTTCTTGCTTTTGACTGAAGAAATTCATTCCAAGCACTACCTTGAATTGTTTTTCCAGCCGTGTCTTTCCTCCTACTCCAGGTATGAGGATGCTGTTAACATAACTATGCAGCTGATTTGAAGATACTTCAGTCTCCTTTCCAAGAATGGCTTCCAACAAGGCATCATGGATGAAAATGTACTGCTCCTGCAAGGTACAGTACATGGTAGAGAGAGCCGTTAAGAGAGTAGCCACCTCTATTCCATTCATGACATCGTCTTAGATTAACTCTGCTCCTAACGGGGCCTTCCCAGAGAACTCCTTCAAGCACTCTACCGCCAGGGGATTTGCTCCAATACTCACTTGCTATCCATCATACCTATTTCGGACAAAGACTGTGTCAATGTATCTCTGTATTCTAGATAGTGCCTGAAACAGTAGGTTCAACACAGCAAGTACTTGTTCAGCTAAGAGCTCTAGAACCATCTTTTGATAGACAGATGTTTCTCAGGCCAGACAACATGTTCATCTTCTCCAAGCATTGAACACAGCACTAGATACCAACGTGTCTGCTTTGTAAGTGCTGGGGTAGTTACTGAGAAATCCAAATGTTAAGAGCCACACAGAAATGGAAAACTGATACAAAACATAGGATATTTTCTAATACTAACCTGTAAATTCCCTCAAGCCTTCAGAGAATGAATCTGTCTCCTCCATATCATTCAACGTTCAGCTAGAACGCGTGCTAGGAGCTCACGAGAGCACTGGCCGCTCCCCCTTACCTCCGTCTGGACGAGGTAGTTACGCTGTGTCCTGATGTGTTTCAGGAACCCCAGGACGTTAACTGTGCTTTTGTCTTTTATCTGCTGCAGCATGCTGTCTATCACAATGTAGGTGCCTGTCCTGCCCACACCAGCGCTGGAAGAAACAAAGACAACCAACCCTAGTGCCTTGTCATTAACCGTGGAATGGAAAAATACATCTTAAATGCCTACTGAGTTTAGCAATAGCCCAGAGTGTAGCTCACAGAGGTTACTGACGATGGACAGTATCCTTTCCCCTCTCCTGAGCCTGGATGGGGAGCCAAGGCTGCCTTTATTCCATAGGAGCTGGAAGAAAAGTGTTCAGGACTTGACAGCGTTCTCAGCTGCCCTTGCAGCTCAAGCAGGTCACTCAGTGACCCAAGGGCCTGAACGGCGTCTCCTGTGGCAGCAGCCACCTCTGAACCAGATCTGCGGAGGCAAACCGTGTCGTTTACGCGGGAGCCTGATTCTCCAGTCCTCACACTCTCCTTTAATAAACCTTTTCTGTACAACTTCCCCAGTCTGCTTCTATTGCTTGCAACTTCGAAGCAACTTAGAACTGACTAATGCACCCAGTATTATACAGAATAACCATGGATCTGGAAAAATTTGGCCTCCTTTATGCACATTTTTCACATTTCTTATTATTTCTTAAATGTTATTTTAAAAAAAACACCCAGGGAAATTTGAGTTCTGTAGCACTGACTCAAAGCTTTCAGCAGAATGTCCTGGGAGGTTCTCCAGCTAGCGCAGCTCCCTGGATACCTAGGTTGTATGATACACTATTCTCTCTCTCCATCCATCTTAGTGATCCTGAAAATGGGTCACCAGAAATGTAGAGGAGTTCTCACAAGATTTTATACAGAAGATGGGTTTCAGAGAGTTTGGGGTGTGAAAGCCATTGTAAGAAAGAACCACCCAAAACAAAAGAAAAGCTTAGACAATTCCTTACAGCCATGGGATGTAAACCACACAATCAGCAATATCCATTTGAATACCACAGTTAAAACAGAAAAAGCAAGAATGCAAGTACAAAGGGAACAAAAGCGTTTTTAAACAACAACCAACTGGAGCTGTTTAAGGTAGTTAAGAAAACTACCTTAAAGGTATTTTATAACGTAAAGTAAAGATTTGGAAATATAACCCTTTCACACATACTAACGATAAATATTATTTAGAGGAACTCTACAGAAAGGCCATTTACAGAAACTTAAAATCTTGCTGTACAAATCTCGACTTTATATGTTAGGACCAGCCTACAATTTCCCTATAAATAACAGGTATTTTATTAATGGTAAATAAGATGATGTTATTTATTAATGGTAAATAAGATGATGTTATAAAAACTACTAGAGGTTCATCCTCTAAGCTGAATTTTAATCTCAGCAGAAGCAACTGATGATGTCTTCATGGCACTATAGTTATTGAAAAGTATACTTACTAACAAACAGGTCTTAGGTTTCAGTAGAAAACTCAGTTTCCAACTCAAAGCAGAGCCACAGTAGTTCAAGTAGAGTCTGAGTTCACAGGGCCCACATCACATGCTGGATCCCAGGCAGAAGAAAGCACGCCCCCCCACCGGCAGGGCACAGTCCCCCCCTACCTGCAGTGCACCAGCACAGGCCCCATTTCTGGTATCCGGGCTGCTGAGGATCTCCTCACGAAGGTCAGGACGGGGAGGGCATACTCGGGGACACCCATGTCAGGCCACTGGGTGTAGTGATACTGGATCACTACCCTTTCGTTCTGACGGCCCTTGGGGTTTCCCTTCTGACCCTGATGAGAAAGGTGAGAAAAGATATCTTTAAGGAGGGGCGGGCATTCTGTGGAAGAACCACGTCGGGGTGTCAGGAAACGAGACCCTGACCCAGTCGCCCTAACAGCTGTTCCTGGGCAAGGTGACTGCTTCTCTGGCCATCTCCTAAGCCATTAAATGGAGACAGTAACTCGCTGGATGTGAAGCACCACCGTCTCTTAAAAGAGAGGACTGTTTGTTTAAATGAAGGTTTAATGTCAGTTTTTCTGGCTTTGGAACAGCATTCTGCCTGCCAGGCCTCTATTTCCTGACTTTTGGCCTCAGGGCCTTAGTGCTTTGCTTTCATATGACCGAGGGCTGAAACTCCCATCCCTGCTGTCCATGCTCGAGGCGGTGGAAAGAGCCTGTGTGACCAGGGATTCTCAATTTCTAGAGCCAGAGGCAACAATGTCTCATTTATCTGTCACTTTCAGAAATGAATTTTTCAGGGAGTTTTCCTTTCAATGTCTGGCCTTTTTATAATTTAGTTTGGGTGAAACATCTCCCCAAATGGATCACGTGCTGAGATATCTTTTTTCTTTTATTATCAGTGCCTCTAAAAATTAATTAAAAAATATTTGTGATGACTTTGATGATTCAACACTGACCCTTGTCGGGTACGCTGGCCCTGGGCTACAAAGGCCCTTGACGGCTTTGATTTTTTCAATTCTTCTGCCAAGTCTCCTTTTTCTGTTTCCTCCTCATTTTCAGCTATGACTTTTCCTTGTTGTCAATCCTAGACTTTCTCCTCTGACCTAAGCGATTTCCAAAATTAAGTGGGTGCTGCTTAAATACCTGGAGGTTTCCTATGAGTAGGTAGGCTTCGTAACTAACTTTTCAGCTTGCTATTGGCTACCTTGAGCCAGCTAACAGCTATATTACACAGAACACAGATTAATGCAGTGCTGGTGATCTCCATACACTTCTGCCTTTCATGGCCATAACTATACGTAGAAAGGATTGTTAACCTTGGATCGTGGTTAGATGATCACTGAAAGTATACATAAAAATCTGAGTAAAAGTTCTTCTGGGGTAAGGTAGCTACAGTTTTCACCACATTCTCAAAGATGTCTAAGGCTTAATTTTTTTTTTTTTTTTTTACGACCTATTGCAATAAAGCAGTGCCATACCTAAGTTTCTGCTCAGTAACTACAGTTTCTTAATGAACATCTTTCAAGAGTTTTGAATACTGTTGTGATGATTTATGAGTCTTGCTGTGACCGTGGATTTTGAAAAAGAAACTGAGGTAACTCGAAAGCAGCATTTCCACAAAGCGTGACTCTCAGGATGTTAACAGTGCTGTAGAACAGGGTTTTACTGTTAGTTCACATTGGGAAACACGGGGCAAAACAAACTTAACGTAGGTTTCTTAACTCTCTACTCTAGTCACTGGTCATCCAGTGGAACCTTTTTCATACTTACTGATAGCAGAATCTGATTTTAGCATCTTGCAGGACTAGTATTCCCTAGAACACACTTTGGAAAACACTGCTTTAAAGCTGTCAGAAAATTGGAATTAAAAAGCCAAACTCCTAAACAGATGCTGCTGTTTTCGCACAGTCACCAAAACCTTAAGAGAACTTTTCACTTTTAAATGAAAGTTTGTTCATAAAAACATTAAAGAATTCATTCAGGCCACTTAAATTCTATTATATGCTTTGCCAATATCTTTCACACCATCCATTGATGTCAATCAAAAGAGTTGTAGGGAAAAGGAAAAAAAAAAAAAAGGCTTAAAAATACTTATTTTAAACCAAGTTGGTTGCGAGACTTGGCCTTGGTTATACAGTACTATTTTCAGACAAGTATAAAAAGAGATGCCCTCACAGCCACACCATTCCTTCAGTACCTTTTTCACTTTTGTGTTTCTGACTGAAAACCGACGAACAGTATAGCAGGCGTGTACTTTTGTGCTCTTCAGTGTGACAATGATGTTTCCATACTCCTCACTATTCTCTGTTGGCCAATACTGATCACATTTCCGCTGGGGAAAAAAGAAAAAAAAAACCCTTGAAAATCATAACTGTAATTTCTGTCGTTGATAATGCAATTTCAAATGGCAATGTTAAAGATAACACTGTCATTTAGTTGACTGAAAAAGAAGCTGCGGGCTTGGATACGTTTGGGCAAGACTGTCTGGGAAATGGGCCCAGTATCTGTGATCATCCGTGAACATATGATGTACTTGAAAGAAGACAGAAGAAAAAAGCCTGCATGTCTGACCTGTAAGAAATGGGGCTAGGATGTGCTATACAGGGAGCTTACGGACCACTTGGGAGGCTGGGCTGGACTTACACAAGGTTCCTCTTTACTGTGCGAATCCACACGCTACAAATTTGGGGCGTCAAAGGCAAAATGAGGGACTCCACTATCAGAGAAGCGCAAGTGGTTTTGAGCAGGGACCCCGAGGCTTAGCCTTTATTCCAGCCTAAACTAGCATCATCTTTTAATGTAAGCTCAAAATTCAATAAATTCTACAGTGTTAACCATCATCCAAAACAAAGGCTCTCTTCATGATGGTGTTAAGCGGACTATCCTCCCCCCAGTCTCAGCTATTCGCAGTTCTGGTGACTACACCGTGCTTCCTCTGGTTTCCCTGTTTTTGTTCCTTTTGTCCCCTGTCCTTATAATGTCCTTCCTTCTCTTTTCAGCCTGGGTAACTCCTCCTCATCACTCAAGTCTCACCTCAGATATTAGGTCCTTTACAAACTACTACAGGCACGAGGCGTTCCTTCATTTTGCAGTGTTCCTCGAGTACCCTGCTCATCTCACAGTTAAGCCAACTCATGCACGTGCTTAGCAGTCTTTCCCTCCAGACCATACACAAGGTAAGCGCAGGGAGAATACTTTTCTGTAACTCTTTACACCTGGTCAAGTTCCCACCCTGCAGGAGGCACTCCATAAATATTTTTTTGGGTGACTGTGCATGTTATAAAGACAAGAGGCTCTTACTCTTCCTTTTTCCACAAGGTTCGTAATCATGATAATGATTCCAGTGTTTTGTTCCCAAATCATCCTCCAGAAATCTTCAAATGTAGACTTTAAAGGTCCCTGGGTGGCGATGTAGGCTTTTGCTTTGTTGTAACCCTTCAAAGATGACACAGCACAAAGTAAGACAGTAGCAGTCTCCCAGAAGACCAGGGGTAATTCACGCGCGCAGACAGACTGCGGAGTCTGTTTCTAGTGAACGCTCTGTACGGTATGTGTTAAGACACACTCAGCAGTCTCTGCTGCACTCTTCAATGTTCAGAAACAGTTTATAAAAACATTTCTGACTTACATCGACATAGTTTGCATTAATGTAGTCGCTGTGCTTAGAGTCTTTTCCCGGTAAAGGTCTTAACTTCACCCTACTGTGATCATCTACAGAGGATAAGAAAGACAAAAAAAGGCGAAAATAAAATGTAGGATTCAAAAACTAGCAGCGTTCTAAAGCACAAAACAAGGCAAACATGCAATGTGGGATCTCCCAGAGGCTCCTGAGAACTAAAGTCAAAGACACAGCATTCAGTCCCATCTCAGAAAGACAGGGCCTCCTCTGAGCTCACACTCAGACCCGGGAATGTCTAAGAAATGCAAATTCAGGTCCTCATTAGTTCATGCAAAACCGTTCCAAGTTGTAATCCTCTAAAATTTCCTTGTCCTATATTTTGAAGGCAAGTACAAAGGGCTTTGATTACCCATACCCCTCGTCCCCTCCTGATTCATGCAGATATAAAAAGGTGGTGGTGTTATCAAGTTCAGAACATCTGTTTTTAGGAGATCTGGTTGCTAAATTCAGTTGGACTACCTGCCATTCCAGCAGAACCTAAGTAATTGAGGGAACCAGAGCTCCTTTTAAGAGTGATCTTATTTCAGGAACCTGAAATCAATGATCAGATTTTAGGATCCACTTAACCTTAGTTTATGAACACAAGGGGAGGGATGTCAACAAGTACTGCCAGAGACAATTCACCAAGACTGGAGAGGAGAGAAAAGTTTTTTTCTTCCTTGTTCTCTTTTTTTTTTTACCCATCCTCTTTCCCTTAGATAAATGATTAACACTCCTATTAAAAATGACATGTGGTTCTTCTAGAACATTCTCTAGAGGGAGAAGTAAAACTCTATTTACTGATGACATGACTTCATATGCAGAAAATCCTAAAGAATCTACAAAAGTAACCATTAGAACTAATGAGTTCAGCAAGGTTGCAGGATACAAAATTAATATGCAAAAATCAACTATTTCTGTGCACTAGCAATGAACAATTCAAAAATAAGAAAACAACTCCACTTAAAGTAGCATCAAAAAGAATAAAGTACTTAAGAATAAAAGAAGAGCAAGACTTGGACACTGGAAACTATGAAACACTGAAAGAAATTATTGGAAAGACATTCCATGTTTGTGTTTTGGAAGACTTAATATTGTTAAGATGGCAGTGCTCCTCAAATTACTCTACAAATTCAATGTATTACCTGTCAAAATTCCAGCTCCCTTTTTTCAGCGATTGATAAGCTGATCTTAAAATTCTTATGAAACTTGCAAGGGGCCTCAAATAGCCAAAACAGTCTTGAAAAAGAGGAACAAAGTTGAAGAACTCACGCTTCCCAATTTCAAAACTTGGAACAAAGCTGCCGTAATCAAGACAGTGTTATACTGCATCAGCACAGACATATAGATCAATGGAATAGGAATGAGAGTCCAGAAATAAACTTTACATTATGGTCAGGTGATTTTCAATAAGGGTGCCAAAACGTTTCAGTGGGGGAAAGAATATTCTTTTCAACAGACGGTGTTGGGACAACTGGATTTCCACATGCAAAAGATGAAATCGTACCCCTACTTCCCACCATATGCAAAATTAACCACAGACCTAAATGTAAGAGCTAAACTATAAAACTCTTAGAAGAAAACACGATTAGATCTTCATGATCTTGGATCAAGCAATGGTTTCTTAGATATGACACCAAAAGCACATGTGACAAGAGAAAAACATAGGTAAGCTGCACTTCAAAATTAAAAACGTCTGTGCTTCAAAGGAGACCGTTAAGAAAGTGAAAAGGCAACCCACCGAATGGGAGAAAATAATTCGCAAATCACGTATCTGATAAGGAATTTGCATCTAGAATACATAAAGAACTCTTACAACTCAACAATAAAACTTAAAAATGGGGAAAGGAATGCAATAGACATTTCTTCAAAGAAGACATACAAATGGACAGTAAGCACATGAAAAGATGTTCAGCATCAGACATTCAGACATTAGGGAAATGCAAGACAAAACCACAGTGCTGTACCACTTCACTCCTACCAGGCTGGCTAAGATAAAAACGACAGACAACAAGTGTTGACAAGGATAGGGAGAAAGCGGAACTTTCATACACTACTGGTAGAAGTGTAAAATGGTACAGCTGCTTTGGAAAACAGTATGAAAGTTCCTCCAGAGTTTAAACAGAGTTACAATATGACCCAGCAATTACACCCCTAGGTATAGACCCAAGAAATCTGAAAACATGTCCACACAGAAACTTATACGCAAATGATCATAGCAACATTATTCATAAGTCAAAAACTAGAAGCAACCCAAATGCCCATCAAGTGATGAACAAAATGTGGTATATCCATTTAATGGAGTATAATTCAGCCATAAAAACGAATAGAGTACTGCTACATGCCACAACATGGATGGACCCCAAAAACATGCTAAGTGAAAGAAGCCAGTCACAAAGGACCACCTATTGTAATGCTTTCATTTATATGAAATCTCCAGAATAGGAAAATCCATAGGGACAGAAAGTAGGTAAGTGGATGCCAGAGGCTGGGGAGAGGGGAGAATGGGGAGTGACAGCTAACAGCATGGGGTTTCTTTACGTGGTGATGAAAACGTTGGAAAATTAGAAAGTGGTGATGGTTGTACAACCCTGTGAATATACTAAAAACTAATGAACTGTACACTTAAAGCCGGTGAATTTTATGCTGTATGTGAATTAAATCTCAAAGATTAAAAAAAAATTATAAATTTTCAGTGGTCTACGTTAAATGTACCATTTTATAAAATTCTATGTAATGTGTTCTTCACCAGAGTGTACGTTAACCATAAACATCTGTGCCTCGGACCTTAACATCAAAGTATGTGTTGTCTGTCAGGACTGCCAGTGACCTGGCCCTACGTGTCCATGAACAGTGGAATTCTAGCCACAGAAACAGCCTGTGCTCCTAGAATATTCCTTGAGGCTCTCTATGAAGAATACCTTTTTGTTTAATTCCCTAACCTCTGAAATTCTCTTGACTGGAAACATGGTGGACATGACTAAGCATATGGGCCAAAAGGACCGAGTTGTCATCATTTAAGCTACAGACCCAGTCTTGGAGAGATTGCTTTGAAATTCAGCTTACTTGATCCAGTCCCCAATACTTCTACTTTTACTAAAAGGAGTTGGCTCTCACCAGTTAAAACCAACATCAAGATAGCCAAGTGACATTCAACCCTGAATAAAAATTTAACCCTTCATGGTCACATTTTGACTCTCAATACCTCATGTGAAATCACTTCGTGAACACAGGGATGTTGAGAACATTTTCTTCCGGACACTTCATAGGCTACCTGAGCTCTGACAGCCTGTTAAGAGAGTAAGAGGGGTGGCGTGCAGAAAATGTTGCTGCATCTTATACACTGTTGAAGATGAGCTAATGAGACATTAGCTTCAATGTCGTTCTTTCCTGGCACCCCGATTCTGAAAGCCTGGCTCTTAGATTACGGCCAGCACGAAGATTCCATTTCCTCGAAGCTGACGATAGTTTAAAGTTCATTACTCACAGGCTAAAATGTTGATGTATCTGTTCTTGTGCTTGTTATCTGGATGATTGGAATGTTCTGCGGTGATGTTCATATCAGCTGTACAGCGTTGGACTTCCTAGAGAAGAAAATAAACAACAAGACGTTAGACATGCTTTAGACAGCTAACAAGAATGTCTCAGAAAGAAAGGAACTACGTACATCCAAACGCCCAAGGATTGACTCCTCCTAATCACAGCCATCATTACCTCCCAGACCCAACTTCAGGAATACGGATTGCCATATTCATAACAAGCATATGAAGGATGTGAGGAAGGGTTAGGGATTTTCTCCAGTCATTAATTCATCAATCACCTACTTTATTCTAAATTTTGTCCTAGGCATGAGGATACAAAAGCAAAAAAAAAAAAAAAAATTTTTGAAGAAGTCACAGTCCAATGGGTGAGAAAACATGCAAAAAGATAATGACAGTCGAATGTGATTAATGGAAAAAAGGCCTGAAGAAACTATGAAGGGAGAATAGAGGAAGACTTTCGACAGGAGACAAGGCACATGGGTCTTAGAGGATGAACAAGAACATCCCAGGCAGAGGGAACAGTATGTGCAGAGCCTGGAGGCAGAAATACAATCTCCACCTTGCTTTGCAATAAGCTTATGGCCCTTATTGCCCGTTTTATAACTATCAGTCCACAAATTGATTATAAAAACTCAGTCCTCAATTTACAGCGCAACTAATTGTCATATCTGGCTCAGATACGTATGGCCCTGAAAAAGTATTTGTGAACTCAAATTTTATTTAAATTATCCTTCGGTAGAAAAATAGCACTGGAAGAAGCAACTCTTGTCAGCTACCGTGGGTATAAACATCATCCATTAGCCTAATTCAAGGTTGCTGAAAAGCCAGATTTTTCTACACTGTAGGGTTTAAATCCCAGAAAGTACGGGAGATAACAAATAAGGGAAGTCATTAGCAGTGCACATCTGCTACGAAGAGCAGGAGCAAAGTGACACAAAATCATCAGGAGAAATGTTTTACACGTAACAGATGTAACAGAGTTTAGGAGAACACAGACTTGTCACAAAGGAGTTGCATAGCAATTATGGATGTTTTCCACTGCGGTGACATTAAGCATAATGACAATTAGGAACTGTTTGTCTTTTATATTCACAAAGTCCTTCCCGTGAGGAGTCCCCCTCTTCTCTCCAAGAAGGAACTCACCGTAATCAAAGAATGTAACTAAGGTGTAAAAACAAAGGGTTACTATCTGTTCAAAGAAGCCGTACTCATGGACACTCCAATTCTTGGAAGCTATATACGGAATTTTTTAATAATTGTAGGCCTTTCTGTTTGTCCATTAAAAAAAAAAAAAGCCCTATAGGCGTTAATTCAACATTCCTTTCTAGGGAAAGTGTGTGTTTTATGCAACACTTCTTACCCCTCCTTACAAGCTGTGATAAGCTCTGATATTTTCCATTCTATTCGAAAATGGTTTATAACCTACAGTTCGGCAAACACTGGTTCAGAGGGCCTCGAGGCTGTCTTTGTTTTTCTTTTCTTTAAAATGAGATAATAAAGTGTGGGTACAAAGTATAAATCTGGTATTTTAACATCTACAGGAACATAAGCAGGCTAGTCGTACTTGGAATATGTGGGGGAAGTACCTTAACAGCCTGAAGCATACTCTTTGAATAGTTTCAAGGGCAGAAAACCTTTGAAAATGGATTTGTAAACTGGAAGACATTAATTCGATCTACACACAAATCCCTGAATGAGCCGCCGTTCTTTTGTTTCCGGGTTTTGGAGGTCATAACTTTGGTATGTACCTTTTCAGGGACATGTTGCTCAGATACGCTAAGAGATTTTCGTTTAAGTACCTTACTTTTGGTTTTGCTTTGTTTTCTGATATTTTTCCCCTGTTGTGTGCAGCTGACCACTCTAGATATGGGCTGGGTTTGACCCTCTATTGTAACGGAATTGACCAAGCCTGCTTGGGAGCAGCTGTCTGCACTGTTTAAAGCCATCATTCAATATGGCCAATCAGACCCTTTGTTATCTAATACCCTTGCCTCTTTCACTTTTCCAATTATGTGAATGACAGAAAACAAAGAATAGTCATAAATAATGTTAACTCTGATTTTATTAGAACCCAAGCGGTTTGCCTAAGGCCTTCTGATTTTGTCTTTGGGATAATAATGTCATCTGTAATTCTTGCAGAGCTGCCTGGCTCATTCAGGAACTGATAATATCTGATCCTGGCATGCCTTTTTCCCATCAGAACTGGCATTTCACAGTTAATGTGATTTCAATGGGTGTTAAAACCCTTTAGAGTGACTCTGGCTTAGGGAGTGTGTATAGTCAAGTTACCTGTTCGGCACTCTGATAAACAGTTTAAGGTTTAAGCGTGTTTGTTATTTTACTGTCTTTATAACAAAGCTGGAACTCTTAGAATGGATGTTCTGAGTACTAACAGGCATACAGCCCCAACTGAGGGCCAACTGAAAACAGGAAGCTTAAAATAAAGTAAAAACTAAAAAAAACACTAAAAGTTGGTGTACCTAGAATCCTTGGGAGATGGTTGGCAGATGGCTAGAAATAGGCTAAGTAAGTGTGTGCCTGGAGTCATTTACATGAGGGGCTGTCGAATGAGCCCATGAAAACCTACAGTCCTATCGTTCTGTGGCTCGATTAAAAAATAACTGGACAAAATACACCTAGAAATCTTTCAGATTACTGTACTCAGTTTCACAAAGCAAGCTAAGTAGAAAAGACTTTGAACCTGGAGACCACTTACTAGACTGAGTGTTTATACTGTTCTTAGGAAACTCTGGTGGTGTAGTGGTTAAGAGCTCAGCTGCTAACCAAAAGGTCAGCAGTTCGAATACACCAGGCGCTCCCTGGAAACCCTATGGGGCAGTTCTGCTCTGTCCTTTAGGGTCGCTATGACAGCAGTGGGTTTGGGTTTTTATACTGTCCTTGGTGCCTGCATTCAGGCAGTCTACAGTTGTGGTCAGGGGTATGTTCTGTGGCAGACAGACGGGTTCAGTTCATGACTGACCCAGTGTTTCCACCGTGTCTGATGCAAAGCTGGCCGTGGTGGGTGCTGGTGACACTGGGTCTTCCTGCCTCTCTTCTCTGCTCAGGCTGCAAACTACTGCCAGGCTGATTTTCTGCAAATGTTGCTTTGATTCTGTTAATCCCTTACTCCGAAACCTCTGGAGAGATTCCAAATTCCTCACCCAGGCTTTCAAGGCCCCATCCCATGTTCCAGCAACTCCCTTCCCAATGCCAGACGGTTTGAACTCTGTGCCCTTTGAAAAGCCCACACGACTTCCTACTCTTTGCTGGACTGCCATTGCCCTTGCTAAGAGCGCCTCTCCTCCTCTCCCCCATCCGAATCCACATGTCCCTACCTGAAATGACTGCCTGCCTTCCTGGAAGACCAACCCATCTTACAGCCTACCACACAGTGCCTTGCATCCTGCAGCTCCTCTATAAAATAGTAAAATTTTTCATGAACAATTTGCGAAATTTGGCTTACTGTCTTTTTCCCCTCACCCTTCCTAAAATTGACTTAACCAATGATTTTCTTCATACTGAGGGTTTTAAAATGCTTTTCTTTCTGATATTTAAGACCCAAGCTGGCATTTACTCCTGGAGGCTCAGGAGACTGTATGGGGTCACTTTCTGCCATCTTGCAGGTGGCCAGTCTTTATGCAGCAGCGCACCTCTGTCCCGAGGCTCCCCTATTACATGTCATCCACAACGCTGGCGTTCTCCATTTTACATAATGCTATTGTGGTCACCGTTCCCTCGGCGGCTGGGCTCAGGTGGACAAAGCTTTGTTCTCTTGATTTAAGATGAACGACCAGCCCATGTTTAGCTCAGCTGGAGTTAATTGTAACAGAGGTGATCCCCTCAAGGATCCCATCAAGGGCCTCTGGCCCCCTGGCCTCATCTCTGCACTTGGCCTTTAAACTTCTGATTCTGCTGGCCTCTGCCTAGTAATTCTGTCATCTCACAAAGACTCGGAGCTCCCTCCCTTTGGAAGAGTTTGCTAGCACTGTGCCTTTGGAAGCCTGGTGGATTATGACTGTGGAGGCCAGGAAGAGGCTGTTAATCTCTTCACACTCTTCCTGGGAAACCGCTCCCCGGGAAGGAGAGTGAGGCTGAAGGCCGCTCTGGCGGCCAAGGAAACAGAGTCACCGACCACTCTCCCGAGACGAGGACTGATGTTATTGCCAGTGACTGCAGAGTGTGCGATGTCGCCAGCTTTTTACAGTCTCCAAAATGTATCTGACAAGGACAAAAAGCTTGCTGTCAGCATCACCTCTAGATGAAGACTCAAAATTACCAGGGAATAGCTTTCCTCACTCTCCTCCAAGCAGCAAAGTTCTGAAAATATGACAGCTATTCACCAAAGATTTGCTTACTTCCATCCAAGATTTTCAAATGCCACGTGGCAAATAGAACTTTCACTGAAATACCCGGTCAACATTCCCAAGTTGCCCTTGTCGTCTGCACTCCGGAACTGTATGCCTGCGTTACGGCACTGACTTGGCTCTGCCCTGTGTCCACTGTAGCTGGGTACACTCTGCTCTCCCCAACTAGCTAAACTCCCTGAGGGCGAGGACTCCGTCTGGTTCATCTTTACACCTTATAGTATGCCCAGAGAATGGCAGGTAGTCAGCAACTTTAGATGAATTCTCTCCTGTAAATGTTAAGTGGTACATTTCTATAAGTTTAAGACATCTTCTCTAATTTTAGCCAGGCTCCTGGTTAGATGTTTTGTAAGATCTTTATAACTGAGATTCTCACCAATATGGAAGGAACCTAGACAGTAAGATCATGAAATGAGCAAGCACTCTGCCTCCTGATCTCGCCTGCCCCCTCCCCTTTTCTGGCCGCCATCACACAGTCCGTCTTAGGCTGTCTTGGTAATCTCGGCTATTTCTCCCTCCAGCTTCAGCTCATTACAGGACATCGCTTTACTGAGAATCTGGACAGCCTCGAGGTTACAGATGGGGCTCCAGTCAGACAGTCTCTTGGCCTTAAACCCTACCGCTGCCATTTCAAAACGTAGCCACGCGACGCCTCAGTTTTCTCACGGGTGAAGTTTTCACACCTGTAAGAGTGGGACAGTTAAACAGCACCCACCACGTCAAACAGCTGTGAGGAACAAGTGAAGTAACCCAGGCACCAAAACAAACCTCTGCCCCTTCTGATTCACGGCGACCCCACGTGTGCAGAGTAGAACTGCTCCATAGGGTTGGCAAGGCTCTGACCTTTCGGAAGCAGATTGCCAGGCCTTTCTTCTGAGGTACCTCTGGGTGGGTCTGAACTGTCCACCTTTCAATTAGTGGTGCTTACCCGTTTGTGCTACCCAGGGGCTCCTAATACCCTATGCGCAGTGCTCAGCCTGTGTGGCCAGCAGTATTCCACATAAGTGGACCTGGAACTCGGGGGCTGTTTAAAGTGGACTTTAAACAAAATCTCTTCTCCTATACTTCCTCACACGGCATGTTACTGTCTGTTGTTTACAGAACAAGAGCATTTCTCCTGCCTTTTCTTAAACTACCGGTTACCAATTTTCCCTTCTAGCAGCACTGCCAAGAAGAAATGATACCACTGCCTTTAAAATACTTTGAATTTTCCCCAAATCAGAAGGATGCAGTGTATTACTGAGGTTTTTTTACTGTCATAGTCCCTCCTTTATGTTGTTGCCTTCCCATTCTTTTCAGGAGAAAGGTTATTCTTCCTATTCTCAATGGCTCTGATTTGAAGCCTTTCAAAGCGGGAGACGGGGTGAAAGGACTGCAGGAGAACAATGTCCCCTCTCTCCCTGCCCCCAACACTCCATCCCCATGACTATCAGCGAATAATACTTAGCTATGAAGTTCAATCTGGGAGATGAAAGCTTTGGGCCACAGTATTTTTTCAGGATAGAAATAGGCTGCAGATGCCAAGGATTTGATGACAGGCGTGATTTTGACGCAGCAAAGCCCATTTTAAGTCAGCTCAAGTTTACAGAGGTGTAGCTGATTATTTAGAATAATTAAATGGTGTCAAAACCAGCTGTGATGAATAGCACCGGGGTCTCAAATCATAAATAATTGAGAAACCAGAGTTGCATTTGATCATCCTGATCAAATTCTGTTCTCCAGGGGCTCAATGTTTGTCCTGAATACCATCAACATTGTTAAATGCCTCAATATTCTTACTCAGTCATCCAGCTAGCAGTCAATTGAACTAAATCACTTTCACACCACACACATTTGCTGTCCGCATGAATACAAAATGTTTGACTGAAACCATGTTCTTTGTAGTCGAACAGGCACCTTTCTGGTGAGCATCTAATAGCATCATTAAATACTTGGACTGTTTCTGTTTGCTCCATAAAACATACGAGTTTGCAGAGTGAATCCGAGCGTTCCCTCTCCCTATCACCTTTGCTTACATTCTGCTCAAAACAAAACAACAACAAACAAACACAAAAGTAAAAGATTTAATTTAAAGTGAGGTGTTAGTAAAATCGCCTTTACGATAGCCTTTAGAGACTCCCACTTTGCATAGAGACGGCAGCTCTCGGTCCTGTTTGTATTTCTCATTGTTCCTGCAAGGTAACTGCACCTCTCAGCTGCATGGCTCCGCCATGGCCCAGCGTGCTGACCTCCTACCACCTCGCTGGATTCCCATAATCAGTTTTGTGAAAAGAGGTGCGCAGGTTAGCGTCATCAGCATTTCCATTTGACAGTGGGAAGGAGACAGACACTGACTTACCCACGAAGCTAGAAGACAGCAGAGCTGCCATGAAAACTTGGCCTTCTCAGCACCACTCTGGCTGCCAGAGACGCGCCTTCATGAGGTGCCTCAGTGAAGAAAAGGGCATTCTGTTTAATAGCTCCCATTGACACCTTGTCACTGCTGAGCTGGCACGGAACCCAGAGCTGGCAGGGGGTGCATGCCGCTCTCTACCTTGTTTCCTACACACCAGCTCTTACAATCGTAAGGCTATGTTAACCCATGTCTTCTCTCCAAGGCTCGCTAATCATGAAGACAACAAGAGTCAGCCTTTGCATGGTGCTCAACAGTTAACCCAGCACTTCCAGAGATGTTAATCATTTACTTTTTCCAACAACTCTGGGATGCAGGTGGCACTGGCACCTTTTTTTTACGAACGAGGACACTGGGGATCAGAGGGATGAAGCAATTGGCCCAAGGATTACGAAGTTCACTGTTGGTGGGACTAACATCCAAGTCCTCAGACTTCACATCCGCTGTCTCCACTCCGCCCTGTGCATCCCAGAAACGACGTGGGATTGGGGCCGCTGCTCTGCATCACAACCGTTGTTTGAAGTTAGAATTAAAATGCAGGAAGAACGTGAACAATGATCCCCGCCCGTTTGCCTCTTCTCGACCACGAAGTCTGTTCTCCTGTAGAAGTGCACGTTCAGGACAAATGCAACCGACTCCTTTTCCCTCATTTTTATGGGGAACAGATGCCTGTTAAAATTATAGGTGTAAAGAGAAAAGAAAACAACCGTCTCCACTTTCTACCGTTATTGCTTTCTTATGCTTGGAATACATTTGGTCAAAGATTATAAAAATCCCTGTAAAAGAAGAGTTAGGATTCTGGAAGTTAATTTCTAGTTTTGAAACATACCTCAAAGTCCTCGGAGAATCCGTGCTGGTTATCAGAATAGAGCTCCCCGATGTGTTTAACAAACTGTTTGACAGGAACAGCTTCCATGTCATCTGTGGGGATAAGATGATATTCAGAGTCACACAGATAAAACTGCTGTGAAACAAATGACATGGATAAGGGATTATTTTAGACAAATATTGGATTTTTGCAAAGACTGATACAGTTGAATCACCTGAAGCAGAGGTCCTCAAGAAAAGCCAAAGGATCTATTTTACATGGGAAGCTCATTAGGACTTGAATGCCTATAGGCCAGGTTACATATGCTTTTTCAAAAAAGGTAGGCAGAGGATCCCCTTTATTTTCTACATTCAAGGCAATGTACATAGTTAAATTACCACATCATAATTAAAAATCTGAACTTGCCAAAGGTACCTCTTTGCCAAGAAATTTTATCACAACCTAGGGTTTTTGTTTTTTTAATTGCTGTTCAATGGGGTCCAGCTTGAACTTGGAGCAATTAAGTTCTGTTTCCAATCTTTGCAGTCTAAGCAATGTTTCACACACAATTAGGGAGAGGCCATTGTACCAGCTGGCTTCGGGTATGATGCCATCTATCTTTAAGTGCTCAGATTTTAGTTCAAGACAGCTGTGTCTATATGATGCCAAATAATCAGTTTGACTGAATTAACTGGATTTTTTTGGTGTTGACAGACTAGGTATAGATTCAGGAAGACTCCATGTTCCAACTGATCATAGCATGTCCCTTTCATTTCAAATGGACACGTACAGTTCTTAGCCCAAAGGAGGTCTGAAGCTGTATCTACCCAGGTCCAAATCTGAGACCTGAGTATTGCTGCAGAGCTGCCACACCCAACCTAGTGGAGCTCCCCAACCTCCTTCCTGCCTTCTCCCTCGAATCCCACCCCCCCAAATATTTCCTTTTAAAAATACTCTGCCGAATTTGAGATAAACAACAGACATGACATTTACTTTATTCAGAGTGAAAGATCTTTGGCAAACGCACAAACATCTAAACTGCCACAGATGCTTTTCTTAGCAAAGGGTATGAAGATCTGTATGTGTAAATGAGGTCCTACTTTGGCAAGAATTTCATAGATCCAGGCCTGACAATCTGATTTCTCTTCATCTGGTGACAGTTAACACGGACTATGTCATTCCTTCTCTACTTTCTTTCGAGAGAGCAAAACTCCAGCGTGGCTTTTTGCATCTATTGACATTTTCAAACTTGAATCCTTCTTAAGGGGGAAAATCGCATCTCTTATACTTCATTTAAGGAAGGCAACTTGTATGTTCATAATCCGACTCACTTAGCATAGAAATGTTGCTTCACCAAATAGGTGGTGCTCTGTAAGCCAGGTTCTTTCTGCGTGAACCATTAAAGACCTAATCATTTTAATAGGCAACCTTATGAAAAAATTCCAAGTTATTTACAAATATTTCAGGATCGAAGATGTTCATGAATATGCAATCATTCTACGCACCCAAGAAATCTATAGCACCCATAATGATGTAACCAGCATTAACAAAGCAAGCAGTGCCAAAACGTTTCCCACGAATATTTAGCAGAATGCACAGTTCAAGGAAAATGTCCAAAATTATTTGATCACTTCACCAAAAATGTTTAGAAGCAAATTCTACAATCAAGCGGTCATGAAACGATCTCAAATCAACCGTAGAAAAGGGTCACTATGCACAAAACTGGAGTCTCCAAGAGATAAACCCAAGGATCAGCATGTTTGGACAAGAGACAAGCCCCACAAAGACCCTCGTACACAGGCTGCAGCGGTTCTCGCCTGTTCGTGTAGAATTCGCAAGAGCAGAGAAATATAGCTGAGAATATAACAGGCTGAGGGCAACATGTATTCCTTAATGATAACTTGAACTTCTAGATGCCCAGTAAACTTAGGATGCCATGATTACCACAGACTGTAATTCTAAATAAGGGGGAAAAACCCAACACGTCAGCTTTAGAGTTATTTTACTCTGCGAGGTAAAATCCACAGCATTTTAAAGGTCACAGGCCACCTCAAATCATTAAAAGAAATGCTTTTAGGTTTACAGTTGACTATTTTTTCCCGCAAAGTGCTCAACTGTGATATCCCAGCTGATGCCATAACACGCCCAGAGACTGGCCTGTCTGCTACTCCCTATGGCGAGATGCAGCACAAATCCAGCAGAGCCTGGGATGAGAATCTCGGAAATATATGATTCACTACTCTCTCCAATTGGCTTCTTTATCCAAGTGAGTCTAACCCCGTGGCCCCGGGTTCCCAGGCTCTACCAGTAAGGTTGTCAAACTCTCAGACAGGCAGGTGCACACTCACCTACGTGCACACACCTGCGTCTGCACCAAGCAGCGTTGGCTTCCCAGTTAAGACGCTGTCTGTCCTTCAGTTAGGATGATGTGGCCAAGGGGTCATAAATCTTTCCTCCCTACATATTAAGACGAATAGAAGCCTACGACTAATTAGAAGTCCTAATAGTTTTCCTCTTCTCTCAACATGAGCCAGATCAGTAATTATAAAATTACTGTAACTAGCAGAAGGCCAGACAGTTAGGACAGCAGCATAGTCCTGATCTGCTCCGTTTTCTCTGGGAAGGCCGTGTATTGTAAGAAGATATCCATCCGTAAGATATTATTTCCACCTAAACATCTGAGTTACATCAACGATGGTGGATGAGGCTCTTTCTAAATACTTTCTATGCACTGTTGTTGCTGTTAGGTGCTGTCGGCTCTGACTCATGGTGACCCCACGTACAACAGGACGAAACGCTGCCTGGTCCTGCGCCATCTTCACAATCACTGGTATGCTTGAGTCCACTGCTGCAGCCACTGTGTATTTTGAGTGCCTTCCAACATAGAGGGCTCATATTCCAGACTATATCAGACAGTATTCTATAGTGATTCATGGAGTTTTCATTGGCTAATTTTCAGAAGGAGACTGCCAGGCTTCTTTTCCCAGTCTTAGTCTGGAAGTTCTTCTGAAGCCTGTCCACCGTGGGTGAGCCTGCTGGTATCTGAAATACCTGTGGCATAGCTTCCAGCATCAGAATAACATACAAGCCACCACAGTACAGGACACTCACATGTATTTAGTCCTCTCAACAACCCTACGAGATAAGCACTATCATCATACCCATGTCACAGCTGAGAAGCAGGCACAGAAAGGTAAGCTGAAGGCTGGGGTGTGGCAGAGGAAAGCGGCCAGAGACCCAGAGCGCTCTGACTCAGAGTAGTTACTGTGTGGGTCGCAGTGACTGGGACACCACTGGATGAAGCATGTACTGAGCACCTAGGACTCAGCCAGGTATCAGGGAGATGTGGTGGAGAAGCGGTGAACCTAAGAAACCGAGATCAAGACAGTGTCTGAGGATTCCATGATGAAGACTCCAAGCACCATGGAAGGGATGGATTTGATGACTTAGGTAAGATAGCCCTTACTGAAGTGATGGTTGTGGGAGCATGAAGAAAAAAAGATGGGCTGGAATCCAGGTGATGATATTTTCACTGCCTGAATGAAGATGACAAAGGTTAGATGGAAGATTGTTAGGGTATCACAAAGACAGTCTAACAACACAGCCAGTACATGAGCTCATTTATCAAGCCCTTCCTGGTTGCAGGGACTGTGCTAAGTGCATCGTTGATCTTTAGAAGAACTAGGTGCTGGACACATTGTTATCCTCATGTTACACATAAGAAAACTGAGTGAGCCTGTCCAAACCTGTAAGTGACAGAGCTGATATTGGAACCCAGGTGGACAGAGACCAAAGCCCATGCTCCCATGCACTGTGACAGACTTTCTGACTTCATCCTCAGAGCTCCAGATCTCGAGGAAGAGCAAAGACTTAAGCAGTGAGAGTATCTCAGTTAATCCGATGAAATGTTTATAAATTTTGTGACAATATTTCCACTTCTAGAATTTTCAGATACCAATAGTTGAAATGAGGCAGAGTGGGGCCACCACTGCTATCACCTAATCACCCCGCTATAAAATGGATCTATATTCAGCTGCGAATCAGAAGTTGATCATGGACTTATTGCGATTAGAACAGTTTGTATGCTCAGTTCCAAGACTTTCGCCTTCTGTGGTTGGAATTATGCTCTGTCAGTAAGAGGCCTTTTATTTCAACCAGTTAATGACAATATGACCACTTCTGATGAAGCTTGATATCAGACTCTGGCTTGGAGGCACCAAAAGCAGAGTATTAGAAGAGGCTGAACTGATGGCGGTGGCTTCTACTGAGAAGAAAGTTCCAACGCTGAGAGATTCGAGGGGAAACCAGAGCCAAGTAATGTCGACAACAAAGTTAATACCACGGGGAAGAAAGAACAATGCATTGGAACATAAAGAAAAGCTATTTCCAAAGTCTTCAGTTCTGTCTCTGTTGAATTTGCACCTTCAGAACTACCAGAGGGAAATCACCAATACTTTGGAGTCACTGACAAAAAACAAAAAGGGAAAAAGTTGGCTTTCTTGTCTGCAGTCTTGGGTTTGATGTTAGCTGAAGGAAAGGACAGTCAGCCGCCGGGCTGTCCTTGAACGCGGACCACAGGGAGACGCCACACAGAGGGCCCCGGCATAGGCTGCTCAGGGGTGGGCAGCCCCGTTAGCCCGTAATTCAGAAAGTGTGCAGCTGTTACTCTTATCAGGCACTGCGGACAGCACACCTCCCTCGTGTCACGTCTCCAGAGACAGTGGTGGGAACGCTAAGAGCCTGGGCATCGGAGTCACACTCACTGCTGACGTGACATCCCCCTCTCTGCGATTCCTCACCTGTAAAATGGGAGGAATAACAGTACCTAGTTCATAGACTGTCATGAAAATTTAACGAGATAACAGGTACTTATAAGAGCACTTGGAATTTAGTAAGCGCTTACTAAGAGAAGGACCCCTGGTGGTGCAGCGGTCAAACGCTTGGCTGCTAACCAAAAGATCGGCGATTCGAACCCACCAGCTGCTCCACAGAAGAAAGATGTGGCTGTCTGCTTCCGTAAAGACTACAGCCTTGGAAACCCTGTGGGGCAGTTCTACTCTGTCCTATAGGGTCGCTATAAGTTGGAATCGACTCGACGACAATGGTGTTGGTT